TCTCTCCTCTCAAACCATATAAACCCAATAGTCGTCACCCTCACTGAAGTTCCGGCCACCACAGCAGCCACCAAACTACGAGCATCGACGACGATCTCCGACTCCTTCTGACGAGCTACGACCACCGGCGAATCAGCGACAATCTCCGACCATCTTGCTTCATGTTTTTGTTCTTTTGTATTCATGTTTTATACCATAATCAATCCTTTTCTTTTCTTTTTTTCATGAATAGTTAAGGAAACTACACTTTATTCCTATTTTTATTGAATTATTGTGTGTAATAGATAGTCATTATTGTACGCTTGTTCAATGGTTGTTTTTTTTTTTGGAAGGACGAACAATATTGTTCAATGTTCATGATTTACCTTTTTTTTATTTCTTTTTTAAATTTCATTTATGTTGGCTAACTATCAATTACCAAAAAAAAAAAAAAAAAAAAAAAAAAAGATCCAATGTTCATTTTTTTCCACTTTTATATTACATTTTTTTTTTCATGGTTTCTTTTAGAAAAAACAAAAAGGATTTTAACAACTCATAATTTGCTTCCTTGACTTGAACCAAACAGTCACAAAGGGAATCAATGAGCAGTTCATTCCGTTTGCTAGACACAACCAAACAATCAGGGTCAAACCATTCCTTTCTCCTTGTTCATTCCATTCCGATTCCCTGTGCAAACCAAACGACCCCTAAATCCTATACCTTGGGAGGCTGATAGTTTGAGAGCTAGGTTTTAAATTTACAAATGTTACTACAAAGATACATTGCCCCAACTTTTGTAAACCTAACCCCCTAAAAACTTGTCAATGACATATGTTTGGCTAAATACAATGACCTGTTCATATTTACTGAATTGAGCTGAACTAAAGTGATTGGAGCTGAACTGAAATGAGCTGATTGAATCTGAACTGAATTGAACTGAATAGAGTTGAAATGAATATTTTATGAGGGAGGAAAATTAGGAGCTGAAGTGAACTCAAATGATTGGAGTTGAACTAAACTGAAATGAAATGAAATTAATATAAAGTGAACAGGCCCCTAAGTATTGATGATTTTTTTTTTGAGGCGGATGAACCATGTTTGGTGCATTCGGTTTTCTTTTCTTTTTTTTTTTTTAAAAAAAAGGCAAAATGAACATTTAATTGTTTAGTAAAGAACATATAGTTGTTTTGTAAAAAATATATAGCTATTTTATAAAGAACATCTGGTTTTATATGTTTTTTTTTTGGTAAATCTAAAGAACATTTGTAACATTAATAAAAAAAATGATAATATTAAAGAACATTATTCATATAGGAAATGTACATTTGGTATAAATGACCATAAATGATCAAATATCTATATGAAAAAGTACATTTTACTGTATTATAATGTACATTGTATTATATTTTAATGAACATATATGTTATAATGTTGGTTACATGTTTAATATACATTGTATTATTGGATCATGTAAGTACATGAAAAAAGAACATTTTATTGTAATTTAATGTACATTGCATTATTTGGATCTACAACTTTTTCTAATTTTGTATATTTGCTTGCTTTCTTCTTCCAAAATGTATTAATCGGTCGATCTTCTTCAAGAAATTCATTTTATTTCTCATTGCAACAACAAAATTACATCAAAATCGTAATTAATTCCCAATAAATCAAATATTACAATTTTCAATCAAATTTATAAAGAACAAACATTCAAACTCAAAATAAACAAGTAATAAATGTCGAATTTGGTCTTACCTTTCATTTTTATATGTCATCTTGAACAATTTTGGACTCAAAATTTCGATTTTCTTGAAATTTTGTTTGAGGTTTGAGGAATTTAAATGGGATTGAAGTTTTGTTTGGAGAGAGAAAGTGAACTTTTGATTAAAAAAAAATGAAATGATTTGTAACTAAGGTAAAAAAAAATAATTATAGTACTATTTATCTATTTCATTATACAAAATTTCTTTCAAAAAAATATAGTAGTATACAAAATTATTGCACAAAAATCCGATGTACATTATAAACGAACACTATGTTCTTTTATATGCCCATATACATTAGTATACATCTGCATGTACATTCAGCCTTTTCGTATTTTGGAGCGGATGCACCATGCGTATCGTGCATCAACATGCACGAACCAAGCTTTAGTGTCTGGTCTCATTTTTTTTTACTAGATTAGAATAATCATTATTTGTGAATATGAGTAACAAGAATTAATCAAGTTGGTAACCTTAATTTGCTATTAAGAATAACCCCAATTCATTAAACAAGTAACAATTAAATAAACTATAAGTAACCTTATTTATTCATTCAAGTAACTTTTATTTTGACCATAAAAGAGTAATTTCTCTTGTTGATAAAACTAACCTCATTTTTCCATTGCAATAACCCTTTATATGTCAAGATAACCCCATTTGATCATCGGTGTAATGCTGTAACCCTCAATACTCAATTAATTGCTTATATGTGAATTGGTCACCATGTGGCTAGTCACATTTAAAAATTTATGTTGGCCAAATGGGTTTTCAATACAACTTTTCAAATGGTTATATGGAAACCAAGGTTGAATTTCTCAACCCAGATTTAGTGATTTTGTCAAACATGAATTTCATATTTTCATTTTCACATTGATTAGATGATTTAGATCCAATACAAGACATTTCGCTCCCCTTCGATCTGGACCCTCATTTTAAATTGACCAATCTCTTTAATTGATAAGGGGAACTACAAAAACAAAAGCAACAATACAAGAAAACTAGAAAGACCAAAACAGAAATCTACGTCGATGACCAAAAAAAAAAAAATCTCTTTAATTGACAAGCAAGCACAACACTAGAACCGTCAATGACGACGAGAAGACAGCCTATTGGGTGCACCTAGACCTGTCAATGGGGTTGAGTTTAAGCCGGGTCACGGGTCGAGAAATGCTCAATCCTAACCCAACGTTTGGGGTTCAGGTCAACCCAATGGGTTTTAAACACTTTTTTTTTTGTCTTATTTTTAAAAATTCTGATTTTTCAAGCTTACTTTGCTACTTGTTTTTCAATTTTTTAATGGAACATTTTCACCATATTTTTTTATTTTTTGATATAAATTTTCACTATATTGTTTTTAGCCATTACATACTACATAATTTAAGTCATCACTATTTCACCAAAGTTCATAAATTTCTAACTAATTAAAAATGATAATAAACTTAAAAATAAAACTTTTAATTACATTCCAAATTTTAAGGAAGAGACCAATATACTTATATGCATGTGTGGAGTATAATATCTCTTTACATAATATCAATAGACTTGTCAATCGGTGGTATGGCGGTGATGTGGGTTTTACGGATGCAATTAGTGTAAGTCTATGAGATATATAAATGAGAAAGAGATAAAATGAATGTTCGATGGTAGACAAACAATCAAACCTAATCAATTAGCTAATATCAATTTTCAAATAAATGTATTTACTAAAAAAAAAAAAAAGGCTCGTGAAGGGTTCGATTCGGGTTTGACCCACAAATTTACGGGTTAAACGAGTTTGGGTTGTATAGAGTTACGAGGCAAAAACTTTGTTCAAGATCCAGAAAACAAGTCGGGTTTGGGTCGGGTTGAAAATTGACAGATCTAGGTGAACCAAATAAACACATGCTGTCAAGTAAAACGGCATCAATCCAAATTAAACAAATCTTCCTGTTGATACTAATAAAGTTTACTTTTTCACTTTTCTTGGTGCACCTTATTAACAGTGTTTGCAAGCAAGAAGAGTATATAAATAACTACACAAAGCTACATATCAAATGAATAAAGCACCATAGCAATCAAACCTGAACGAACTCAATAAAATATGAGAACATCAGACTCGAACAAAATAAACCACAAGAGCATCACAAGATCAAATCCAGAACCTATGAGATCCAAAAATACATCTAACTTGGTAAAAAGTATAAATGCAGAAGACATCATATTAACCTTATTGAAAGAGTTAGACCCAGACCTGCCAAGTTAAACTAGAAAATTGATGATCGTATACAAAAACAAGATTATATCATGGATTTAAGGGAAAGACCACAAAGAATTATGAAGTAGCCCTAATGCCCTATGAAGGAAAACAAAGGGGAACAAAACAATCCAAACTTAACACAGATTCAATAAATTATTACTTCGCTCAATAACTGTATAATCTATCTGTTGGTCTTTCCCAGGGAGGGTGTTCGGACATGATTTTTCCAAGTAAATCTCTACTCTAAATATAAAATACACCCCTAAAGGTCCTCATGGAAGTTCCCCAACCTATCTATCTCTAACCTCTACAAAAATCCAACTCGATTGCCATAATACCCAAGGTTGAGAATAATTATCACAGACTTTGACCAGCAGACACCGCTGAAGAGAAAACCTCAAATTTAAAACAAAGAAACCTCACTGCAAGCTTAAGGACACCAAAATCAACTATTCCCCAACAATCCATCCTTTTCACAATGGTGGCTAAACTTGCCAAATACAGTTTGCTTGAAGTGGTAAGAATTTTGGATTTGAGCAAAATTCAGGAGACATCTTAAATTTTTTTTCTGATAATATTTAACATAATTACCTTACAATTGCTGCCAGTCATGGTCAATTTTTATGAAAGGTATGGGTGAAGAGTAAGAAAAAGGGTATACAAGGAAACATGTTAGCAGTTATTAAGGGCTACGTAACATAGCACCTCTTTTTTGGGGAGGAAGGGGGAAGGAGGATTCCGTTTGATTGAAATGCCGAAGGTGACATTAGTTACTGTTTGGTATTACAGGACTAAGGTAGCATAGAAGACATCTTTCCCAACCAGTGCACTTATTATGAAACTTCAGTTTTATGGTGGGATAAGAAGTAGGTACAATAATCTTGTATGATATAAGAACTGACATTTGCAAAGTACTTGCATATTTGTCAGTCTTCTGTGATGGAACTCATGAAAGGCTGTACCTCACAGCACTCATACTGAGTGAGTACCATGATAAACCTAAATGGTGATTAAGATCATACTGAAAAATCCACCTGGGCAGTTTAACTAATTTATTAGGTATCAACAATCTATATAAATCATACATATCATTACCAAGACGGAACGTGGACTTACTACCATGAAGTCAGGTAGCTTCATTTGAAACATAGCAATGCCCACAAGCAATCATCGGCAATAATGATGTTTTGAAAGATAGAGATGACTAGGTAGATATACTGGCTTAAGTTACTTAGACAGATGGGTCTGTCAGCAGCAAAGAATTTATAACCTCCATGACATGCGCCTTGCAATGACCAAGTTGGCTGACAAACAAAGAAAACCACCCAATTACAAGTAATCCGGTAGATCAACTTACAAATGAAAATTTATTAACCATTAAGAGATAAAGGAAGGAATTACCCTTATCATCCTGATTAAATCGCCAACAAAGTTCAGTCTGCATGCTCTGCTGTTGTTTGTTTTATTTGTGGATTGATGCTCATCTCGTTTAGAGAAACGTCATTAGAGACATATCCCTCATTGGAATCCACAAAGTCATGAAGACTTTTGGATCCACGTGGAGAGAGAATATATTCATTTTCAGAGTTCTTGGGCAACAAACCAATTGGCTGGCTGCTTGGAGCAGGTGGTTCTGGTTCAGTTGAGACTTTTGTTGACGTGGATGACTCTGGTGTCTCAGCATACCTGCTTGAAAGCTTGAGAGGCCGATGAAAGAGCAAGTGAGCCACAGCTCGGTCAATATGGTTGGTCTCAGTCTCCACATTTGCATTTCCAACAAATCTGAAATTACACGTACAGAAATATGGATGGGGTTAAAATAAATTTAATTCATCAAAAAAAAAAAAACATCACAGTAAAGTAGTTGTTCCAATAATATCAATAAATTCAGAATAAAACAATTTTTACCACCTACAAACAAATTTTACCTAGATGTTGGTGAATGTCACATCGTGTCAAATAAAATGAAACGGAGGTAGTATGATATTTTAGTATAAGTTCCCCACTTATCTAGGAATCGAGAGATCCAAAAGGACTACCTTCATTGTCAATATGAATAGACTATTATATGAATATTTAATAAATTTTATCCTAAACATATTTGTATACACCTTTGAGCATCCTAAACTTATTTGTATTTGGGTGTCAGCATGATCAGCATAGTTTTATGTTGATTTGATCAATGGAAATACCAAAATTTCCCTGATTCATTATTAAACTTTTAGCAAGAGAAAATAGTTTGAACTAGGTTCAAATCAGACATCTTTGAGCTCCAAATCATTCTTTTCATTTTCATTCTTTAAAAATAGAGTAACAAATCCCGCATACTTTTTCTTATCCAGTTCAAGCACAATTCAATAATACGAAGCCATTTCCCATAGCTTCGATAAATATGAACTATATAACAATTAGAAAATAATAAAATCATATAGGATTAACTTCCTAACCTGTCATGATTGCTTGTCTCTTCCTTCGCAATATCAGGCTCAAAAGTACTGCTCTTTTTACAGCTAGTATCACTAGCACAGAGTCTTTGTGTTGCACTATGAGCCAATCGATATAAGCTATCTCTTATACACAACCTTATCTTCATATCCAACTGCATAATAAGAAGGGAGCTTTCTTCAGATTTACTTCACATTATGCAGAAATCAAATGCAATTAATTGCATCATTTTATCATAATACTACTCCCTCCGTCCCATAATATTAGTTCCTGTTTTCCTATTTTGGAGTGCCAAAATGTTGTTCTCGTTTCTATTTTTGGATAATATGTACAGACCAATTATAGCCTCACTTGAATTTTGCACATGCCTTATACTTATCCCCACTTTCTATCTCTAATTTTTGTTTATAATTGTACTTTTCACTTTTATTAATGTACTTCATCCACTTTCTCCTCCTATTTATTAAATACCGTGAAAAAACACAAACAAGAACTATATTATGGGACGGAGGGAGTATAATATAAATACAAAAAGAGGGGGGGGGGGGAATAACTTGCACAAAACATATAATTGAGTCCAATGTAATTTCCAGCATATTTTGGGATTACTCAAAAAACTAATCCCTCTTATTTTTTTTTTTTTTACAAGCTAGAGTTACTATTTTCGTCCGTTTTTTATATAAGCCAGAGTTTTATTTTTGGGAAGCTCTTACAATTTAATAATATATCTTTATCCACTAATGTCCCCACTCTTTCTTATTTTATCATTTCTCACTCCTCCAATGGTCCCCACTCCCTCTCACACCACTTTGCTTTTCAATAAAATAATAACCTTATCTACCCTACTAACATCTTATTTTATTTAAACATCCTAAAACTCCGCGCAATCTCATCTCTAGCCTATAAAAAAAAGGAGGGAGTACCAAATTTAGTCAAAGGGAGAATAACATGGACGTACTCTTGATACAACATCATGAAGTTGGTAGAGAACTGTGTCCTCTGCTGAATAGTCGTCGACGTTGGAAATCATACTAGAATCATCCCCTTTGTTTGGGGAACCAGGATCATAGCATGGTACAATGTTTAAGATATCATCGACTTCAAGGTCAGAGTTTTCCATATGACGGACAGGATCCTCTAGGCAGCTCTTATTAGATCGGGAGTAATCCCCACTTGAAGCTTGTTGACCTAACCGCTGCTGTTGTTTCTGTATAGCAAGCATTGCTCGCATTTGCTGACGCCGCCTCAGTTTTTCAATCTTCTCTTGGGGTGTCATTTTCGTGTGTTTTGTTGTAGTCCCAAGACTCTGAACAGGTTTGTTAATTACATCTCTAGGACTTACTTCAGAACTTGACAGAATAGACTGATTTTCATCTTCTGTATGTTTCAGCATGCGCAAGGCTGGATGACTGCTGAAATTCCCACAAGCATAAGGAGCACCATATGGGGTTGAGAAATTTTGGTATGAAAAAGGCCTAAATTCCTGGGAAAACTGATGTTGAACAGGGACTGAGGCCGAATGATTTTCTACTGTACTTGGAGCACATTGGCGCCTGAACTGTGGAGCATTTGTTGCAGATGATGGCCAATTGTCATATACATCCTGCAGTAGTCTGGAATCAGTTAATCTATCAGTTGCCAGCTCATATTTTGACTGAGTTTCAGACCATTTTTCCTGTAGGAAAGATAAAGAAACATCAGTGGAGAGGACAGATTTCTTAAACCTACCTAATGCAGTCAGGAAATTTATATATTGAAATCATGATGACATATTGAAGATAGCCTTTAGGAGGATACATCTTGCAACAAATTTCAAGGAACACAGTTTAAAACTCCAGAAAGTAAAGTTACTAATGAGACTTATCTCTCTATTAGTTTTATAGTCAGAGGTCATGTAAGAATTTAGATGCCAAACATAGTAGTTCTATCTCTATTCACTAAGTAAAAGCTTTACACTTTGTTTGGATACAAAGAAATGGAAGGAAAAGAAGAGAAGAGAAAGGGAGGGGGACAAATTCTCTTGTTTGAATAAAGGATTGGGGGAAGGAAGGGGAAGGAGAGGGAGAGATCCATTTTCCCTCTCTCTTTAATAAGCATAATCCCTCCAATATTAGAGAGATTTGGAGGGAAAATGGAGCTCACCTCCCCCTCCCTTTCTTTTCTTTTCCCTTCCTCCTTTTTCCCTCCCCTTCCTTTCCTTCCTTTTTTGCTATCCAAACAAAGTATCAGAGTCTTCTCTTAGGGATTTAAAATCCAGAGATATACATATAAATATACAGAGTCTCATCATCAAAGGAAGATACAACTTGTGCGTCATTCTCCTATAAAGATTCACTCTATGTATTGGAAAATTGATATGATTCTTTCTCAAATTGTCAGCAATTTTAAAATAATCAATTCTATTACCTATAGGGTATGACTAACAAAATGGTAGATTATACAATTCATTTGGCTCATCATGCCAGACCTATTGTAAGTTGTTAGTCATAATATTTTTCCTTTCCAAATCTAACCCATAAATTGATCAGGAGAGGTTTAAGTAATTTCTTGCTTGATTAAAATAATATTTTTATGTTATGTTTTACTTGTAAGAAAATGATTCAAGGTGGATGGGAAGATTGTCCAAGTTTCTGAGGTCTTCCTCAGGAATCTATAATTCAAAAGGATGGGAAATTGGATGTAGATGTAGCTCATAGGATCAAAGCGGGTTGGTTGGAAATGTGAGACATGGTTTTCATGTGATCCCTGCGTACCTCTTAGATGGGTATATTCTATCAAAAGGCAATAAGGCTTGCTTTGTTATACGGTACAATAAGTTGGTCGTAAACCATTGCCACGTGCATAAGATGAATGTGGCGGAGATGTGTATGTTGAGATGGATATGTGGCCATACAAGAATAGATCGGTTGAGGATTAAAATAGTTAGGAAGACAGTAGGGGTTACATCGATTGAGTACAAGATGAGGGAGAATCGCTTAAGGTGGTTTGGTCTAAGAAGGAGACCAAGTGAGGTTCTAGTAAGAAGACTCAAAGAGATGCAAAGGGTTGGAATTGCAAGGGGTAGGGGAAGGAAAAACCTAAAAAAAACATGGAAGAGGGTGTAGAGAGTGACTTGAGGGCTTTGGGGATTGAGGAAACATGAGAAAATGCATGTCAACGACGTGTCATGATTAATATATACTTTTGTTTATGTTATCTTAGTATATTCTTGTTTTATTTTACTCAATTCGTGTTTTACAACTTTGTTGATTCCTTTGCTTAAGTTTTCTCAAACGTGTCTTTTAGTTTTTACTCACATGTTTTTACCACTCCTTTAAAACTTCTTCAATTTTATTTTTGGTACTCTTCTTATAAAACTCTCTTAAATTTTACTTGGATGCTCTTTCTTTTTCTTAACACAATTTTTTATCAAATTATTTCAATTGGTCATCTTGTTATGTCTTTTTTTCTTTGTCGCATGATTCCTTATGACGCTTCATGTTAGACAACCCCAAATCATTTTGGGACTAAGGCTTTGTTGTTGTTGTTGTTATTGTAAGGAAATTATTCAAGGTAACTCCTAATGGTTGAATAAACCCTGGGTGTTTTTCTAAAATAATCCTAAAGTGCCAAAATCTCTCCCAAAGAATCTTAATTGTAAGAGAATTATGTTTCAAACATAGAAAAGATTAGAAATCATTATAAGTGGGACTTTATGACAAATCATATCAACGTCAAACCATACTCCATTAACAAAACTATAATTCCATTACAAGTAAGATTACTGTGGAACAGACTTTGGCACTTGAGTCGTTTAGGAAACTCCCAATAAATCAGGGTTATTTTGGAAAAACACCATAAGTTCAGGGTTACCTCGTTTATTTCCCTCATTAACTGTCCCGGACAATAAAGACATTAGTCTGCCAACAAGAAAACAAAGATGTTATTGGAAAGGCAAGACAGCCTCAACAGGTATAAATTACCAAATCCATTTCACAATAGTAGACAAAGAACAAGCTACTGATGGTTTTCATAAATTTCCACAAAGTGAAGCTCCTCCAACAAAAAGACCACTTTGAATTTTGTAAACTATCCTCAAATTTCAAATGAAATAGTCTAAGAAGATATGAGTGGGGAAAAAAATGCATAGTCCTTTCTTTAACCTTAAAAGTAAAACAATGATGCCAATTACAAAAATTATCATAATACTAGGACCAAGACTCAGGGTGTAAAGGGATGTCTGTGGATTTTAACTGTCTCTTTTACCAACAATAGAATAAAAAGTCTCAACCATTTTCTTTGGCTCCCTGGACTCCTCATGACATTCAGATTTTCGACAATGATATTGGGAGTCATATAAACGAAAATAGCTTGGCTTGACATATCACCCTCTATACCAGTCCCTACAAGCATCCTAAAGCATCACCAACCCCTGCAAGTGTTTGGCAGTTTGATTGGAAATGTGAAATTTGCGTCAATGTAACAATCACCATTTCTCTACCACCTATCTGCTCTAACCAACTACATATGAAATTTCTTATTTAGGGGAAATCCTTCACCTAAGATCTGGTTTTGACTTTAGAATATTATTGACAGATTTAGACTATTAAGAAAATGACAAAACCCATTGGAGTTACTTGATTTCTTTGCAGGGTAAACGTTTTTCTAAATCCATTATGGTATTTCATCTCATGCAGCTGAGATATGTTTTTTTTTTTTTTTTTGAGGAAAAGCTGAGATATGGTTTTGAATAGAATAAGAGTTACAGACATACTTCGTATTAGACAACAATTGATCTAGTTGGTGTTAATTGGTTCGTGTGCAGGACCAATACATATTAGACATTCTGATCAATCATATTATTTCACTTCATGCAGCTTTTACAGTGTTTACCATCTCAACCTCAATGTTGTAAGTTGTAACATATCTAACTAGGGTGAATGGCCAAAATCCATTAAATGTCATTTCTTTACACTCATTTGGCACAAATTCAGCACAAAAGCATACAATAAAGAAAAACGTACTCTGTATATGAATTCTTCAGTAAGAAAATGTTTTACCTTCACTGTGGGCTTGTTTGGAGATGCAATATTTTCAGCAGCAGTATGAGAGTCAATTGGTGTCTTTAGATTGATGCCCAAACCTATCTGTATAGTATAGTGACCAATTACAGCATTCTAAAATAAACCTTGTGGAATGTGAAGAATAATTACAATCATTTGGACACTAATAACGGGTTGTACCTTTTCCTCAACCAAGCCAGAAGTATCCACAGCATAATCTTTATGTTCCACATGTCCGTCGATGGTTCGTCGAGGGCAAGGTGAGATGCTGCCGGCCTTTTGGCAGCCAGTTGTTACAGAGGAGTCTTCATTGTGCAAATATTCTGAATTTATTTCAATATTAGTAGAGGCACTTCCTAATGCCCCGAATTCCCAATGTGTCGAGCGTAGAGCTGCAGATGAGGATTTAGCTGCCCCACTAAAGAGACCCTTAGGTGATGGCCATAGTTCATCTGTGCTTCCAAGACTTGTGCTTCCATCTATGTCATCGTTGCTGCAATATCATCACTTGTGAGAATACTTTGTTAGATGGATATTTATCACAAAATTTCAGAATTTTGTTTTCTCCACCATAAAGATTTAATCAGAAAGGGCTTCAAATTTTGTTATACAAAAGAATGAATGCATAAGCATAAGTCAAGAACAAAATGTCATGCCCACATGGAAGGTAAAACCAAATAAGTGCAAATGACTATAAAAACAAATAAAGAGAAGAAGCCTTAATTTGGGGCGTGCTACAGCAAATTATTAGGTCCCTGATGCTCTGTACTAAACATTCCCAAACTATCTAACCCAATGTTAAAATCTATCCTTTTCTAACTCCCACCGGCCAGCTTAATAGCTAGTATTACCTATACATATGCCTAATCCTAAGCTTAAGACCATAAGAGTAGAGTTTCGCTGCATGCAAAGGTTGGTGAAGTTGCTACACTTCATAGTCCCACTTTACAACAATGTAGTCAAGTTATTTCTGACAACAATCTTAATTTCCAAAGCTGTTAGGCTATTGAATAATGAACACCTTAGCCTTTTCCATGGCATCTATGTACCTTAAGGATGACTCTATTTATCCACCAATCTAAGAGCCATATATAGAAGAGGTCACATGTAACTCCGCATTTTAGTTGGGTTATTGTAAGGTGGTGTTGGTAAGCGAATTTGAGATGTTGGAATTGGGAAATTATGACGTGGAGTTGCGAGCAGTTAGAGTGAGGTAGCGTGTTGGAATTTTGCAAAGGGTGAATGAAAGGGTTAGTGAAGAGGGGTGAGGTCAATGGTATAGTTGGCAAGTAGGTGAAGGAAACAATAATGTGGTTTTGAAGTGAGTGGGGGCTATGTGGTGCTTGTAAATAATAGGGATTAAATTAAGGCATGGTAGAGCATGCAATTGGTCACGATTAAGGGATGATGGGGGTTAATTAGTACTATGTATAGTTTAAAAGCCAATTCGGATTATTAGGGATAATGGGGAGCTATGAGAGTATAATTAGGAACTATGGGATGATGTTATACCTCCTCTATCACCAATTGAGAATTCCATTTCACTAAAAAAATCTTATCCCTAAATAAAAGTATCATTTCATATTTTTACCTTTATCTAGTTTATTTTCTGATTTTTCTTACTTTAATCAACCAAACCCCATTAACTTCTTTTTTGTATTCACTTTTAATAAATCAGACCCCCTATCTCGTATTTTTTATTCACCTTTAATAACCAAACCCCAATATATCTTATTATTTTATTAACTTTCCTAAAATGCGTGCAATAGGCAAATGGGACTTTTATTTGGGGACAATAGAGTAATGCTTTTCACTTCGAATTGGTTTTGGAAATAGTGGTACTGCTTTGGGTGGTTTTAGATGTAAAAGCCCTTAATACTATGACCGTGGGATCCATATTGTCTTTACTATATATGAAAAAAAAAAAAGTATTCAAATAGTGAATGAGTGAGTTCAAACAAAAAGAATATTGGACAACAAAATATAATCTTGAAATTATTAGATCTTTACCGATTATCTTAAGGAAGATCAGATACCTCATTTCAATGTGAATGTTAAACTTTGTTGAACAAATTTTTCAGAATTGTTTTGCACATAAGTTGGCTACACGGAGTAATCAATTTTGCTTCATGTTAGCTGACCCCACTTATGGGATTAAGGCTGATTGATTGATTGTTTGTTTTACACATAAGTAGATGATTGTCTTCTATATCACAAATCGTCTCTAAATTAGTTTAGTGTTTCTTTCATATATAGAACAGCATGAAGACATGCACACAGCACACATACAAAGACTAGACTTGTAAACTGGGTAAGTAATTTAGATTGAGTTTTCCCATAGAACAAGGACAATCTAGACCATCATAGACATGCATACATACGTACGACCAAAATCCAGCAGGAGCAAGGACATTTTTTATTACCTGAATATCCTATCAAGATCATCAAAACTCCCAATGCTTGCCCAACTGTTGCCTACAAGATCACCAAGCTCTTTGTCCTCGTGATGAATTTGGGAGCTTTGAGGAACACCACCTAGCTGAATATTCTTAGCTCCAACTACAAGGAAAATATTAATTTTCTATAATCAGAGATAGTGTATTAAAGTAAATTTGGGAAAGCTAAGATCAGCACAATTTCTGTTTTAAGGGATGGCAAAGGGATGACATTAAAAATAAAGTTTAAACTAAGATACTATGAATAATAAATTAGCAGAGGTATATTAAGAAAGCACCAAGTGTCAGGAAATTTTTTTATCACAAGAAGACACCTGGCATTGGCTCATGGAATAATTTTTTTTTACAAGTGCCTAAGTACTCAAGTTTCTTACTTCATAGGACAATAGAATTTTCAGATACAAAATTAATTAGTAAATCTTGTCAAACCAGCAACCTCATAGTGTCATTACATACATAAAAAATTACCAAAGGGTTGAAGAGATGATAGCCCTAATGGACCTAACATTTCCAACCAAGCAATTCCATCTTATTTATCAAAGGCTTTTATAACTCACTTCCTGTATGGATTTTTGAGAAGGTTAATATCTAATGTGTACACATAACACAGGGTAAAATGCATTATCATCCACTCTGTTGTCATCCCTACCACTATCACAGTACTACTGATGAAATACTATAATACATCAATACCTATACCACTGTCATCAGATTTTGAAGCACTGAATGAAGGCAAGTCGAGTTGAGAATCCACAACATCTCCTGAAGCAGACAAACCATCATTCTTATCTCTTTTACATCCGTCTATAAACAACTTAGAGGTAGATGCGTTTTTTTCAACACCCTCACTTTTAGAATTCTTCTCAATCAATGTTTTTTGGTCATTATCACCAGAATCTGACAAAGCTTTTTTCTCAATATCTTCTGGATAAGGCACAATGTGATCATCAGCTTCCCTACCTTCACCCCATATAATATTTGCAAGCTGAAAATACATTAGAGCAATCAATTAGTCCTACAGCATTAATTGGAGAAAAGAAAACGATAGCTTACAGCAGCAATTTCAATCCATAACTGAAAAGAGAAAGCTTAATCATATCATGATGAAGAAAACTTTCTATTCCTTACTTAACAAAATTAATGTACAAAAAAAAGATTGTGCCTAGTATTTTGAATAATCCGATTATGGTGTTTCCTTTTAGTAGACTCGTAGACATGTTGCAAATTTTTAAGAAATTCCTTAACGTACAGCACCAGCATCAGCATCATATGCATCAACACTAATTAATTTTATGAATTATTTTTGCTGGGCGACAACTGAAGTAATGAGAGTCAGATTAGCAATCTCAACCCATAACAATGAGGTTACTTCCAAGAGTTCCAACTCACCTTGCACAATCAGATTAATGAGCCAAGTTCAAAAAGTTCCAAAGACAAAGAATTGTGAATCATTGACATCTCTGATAATGAACTTCTCAGAAATCAGAAAGTACCTTGAAAGTTTCATATAGTTTCATTGATTGCAAGTGTAATCATTGTGCCAACCTCTCATTCCTTACATTTAAACATTGGTTTCCACACAAAGTTCATATAACAATCTTACCAAATGCTCAAAAACAATATATTGCTAATATTATCCTCACAAGCCCTCCAGAAAAAATGTCATATGACTTTAGATTCCCAACAAATAGGTATCATCATGAGATTAATGAAAACAAGCGACTCTATGAGTACTCTACTAACATGTTATTTGCCTATTTGGTATAGTCATTGTCCTTTGAAAGTTCAACTCCACCATTCAAAAAAGCTTTATGTCATGTAAAGTGATTTGGTAATGGAGAGATTTTTTTTTATTTTAGCTGTAAGGTAACTAAAGTTCCATACATGAACTCATTCATTAAGAACAAGTAATGAATAACGATAACCGAGATAATGATTATTGACTATTGAGTACTCCGTCATACAATACCACAACACCCATTAAACCTTGGAGGCATAAGGTTATCTTTTTATTTTGGTCACTACCACACTCTTTTTATGATGACAAACTAAGAGAACAGAGAGTGAGAAGACACTAAGGCACATGCCAAATACTCAAGAGCTTCACTGGATGAGTAGTCATCTTTGTATCAAGAAAGAAAATAGAGTCCTTAAATATGGAAGAAAACATTATGGAGTAAAATAATTCTCTACCTAAGGAACATGCTGACTATCAAATCAGAAAACAAATCCGACAAGGCCCACAATGCCAAGAAAACAAATCTATAGACAATGGAGGTGCAAAGGACAGCACTGTAGCCATCGATCCAACTAAAGAATTGTTAGAAAGAACTATAAGACAAGACCCTAAACAAAGCACCCAATCCACCCATCCAACTTGTGAATTTGTGATGAAAACTACAAAGAACAATAACATAAACTGTGACAGGGCATGACGTTATAAAGAGAGATTATTACAGAAAGGGAAGGAAAATTAGCATGGCTGCTCCCCTACCCTGCTTAAGCCTCACAGGCCCACAACTGACAAGAGAAAAATAAAAAGAGAAAACATACCTTCAAGAGCTTATATTGAATGAGTAATAACTTAAAGAACATGTGATAGTAGCAACATGAAGACCTATACAACAGATTTCTATAACAAAAATCTATGGCCACAGTACATAACCCCATATTCTAAACAGTTTTTAAAAATGGCAAGAAACATAGCTAAGAGTATATGTCCCAGAGTCTAACTGATACACGAGCATCCTTGAAACCTATGCTTTATGTTGATATGAATCGATAGGTGGCATTTTTTTCCCATCACCAACTGTCCAAGTGTTGGCTTAAATAGACATAAACCACAGGGGCATTATCAATATGCATGAGGCACATGTATAATATGATAGCACTATAACTAAACAGGGGGTTGTAAGACAACCTACGGCTGCAAAGAATGCTTTCTTTGAGTCAAAGAGAAAATGAGTTTTTGAGAGACATTAGGGGATGGATAAATCATGTTATTTGATTTATTATATTTTACTTCAGTTCATTAGATTTAAAAGACCATCTAAACTTGTTAGATATTATATACGATGGATTCTGACTCTTAATCAACTTATGCCACACACTACAAGCCATAGCCAGGGATATACAGTGTAATTTTCTTTAAAAGTACAGTAAAAATTTCATCAGGGAGTAATTCAGGGTGTACAACATTGGAGGGGACTAGGAATTTGCAGACTACAGAGCTACTCAACTTAAGCAAGAGGAGGGAGAGAGGGTTTTATTGCACAGGCTCGTGGCTTGTGGCCATTCATTACTTTACTAGACACAAGCCTACTGCATGACATGAAGTATAGGCAAGCTACAAAAACTCTATTCCACAAGAAGTGTCATCATTTCAAAGTGGAATTTTCATATGCACTTCACTTTGATCATATATAGTTTTTTTTTCGTACTGCTTTAAAAGGACAGTGGTAGATTGGTTGGCAAGTGTAATTAAAATACACAAAAACCAATCAATGTATATCTCTGTAAGGTAAATAAAAAGGCTTAAAATGAGCTGAAATGTGCAAGTTTGAAATATCTTTTCTATTTGGGTTTTTTTTCCCCAATAAACTTAGCAAGATATAACAAAACACGTCCCACTTAATTTCAAAGGTAAGCCACAATATTCCAAGCGTAACAATAGTAGCAGACTTGCAGGATTACCAAATGCAAGCAAAAAGATCAAACATATCCAACTATAATGCTTATGAAATTTAACTTGATAGTTTGATGTGAAGAGAAGCATTTCTTCTTCGATTTCAACAAACAATCTGATATTTACATATAGCATAAATTATGGAAACTATTTAGTTGGCTAAGCTTTTAACCCACGAAATTAATGCAAATTAATGAAAGCGGATAATTATTATACTACCTTCGTTTCAATTTATTTGCAACATTTACTACAAATAGATACTACAAATTATTTGCAACAAATGTTTTCTTTCCTTTTTACTGGTCATTTCACAATCTCTCTCCTCATCACATGCAACTTTATTTTCTCCTGCCATTAACCACTCACAAATAGATTTTTCCTAGATGTTGGTGAATGTCACATCGTTGCAAATAAATTGAAACAGAGGTAGTATAAATACATGCTGATCCAATTCTATGGCCTGTTTAATACTCCCCAAGTACTTGATTATCTTTAAAGTGTGATAAAAAGCTGAATAATATTAGAGTTGTGATGGTATTGTGAAGTGACATTCAATATGGAATTGATATAGTAATATAGCCAATTTTATCTATTTGATGTTAACAAATAACATTCAATGTTACAATAGTATTGTAGGACCTATAATCTGAATCAAAAGGAATCAGAACAACAATTTTATTTTATTAATTTTTTTTTTTTTACTTTTTTTTTTTTGGCTGGAGGGAGAATCATCATAATCTTACATTAGCCCTGAATCCCCTTTAGATATTTCAAAAACAGAGGATGAAGTCATAAACTACGCCAATGGGTTTTCCATTGCCAGTCCCAAGCTTGGATAAAGGAAGAGGGTTACGATAGGCTAATGGCAGTCAGTGTAAAACTTTGTCACATCGCTTGACATGAGCCACAATGATTGAGAGTAGTACTAGGATGGGTGACCTCCTGAGTCCTGACCTTCTGGGAAGTCCTCATGTTTGTCCATGTAGCATACCTCACTTATGGTGATTAAGGCGTTCAAGAAAAAGAAGTCATTGCTAGCCTTCCATGGAAAGGCGGTCCAATTGCATGAAATTCATATGTGATTCCGCAAATTACATGAAATTATTATTTAAAAAAAAAATCGTAGTAATCTGTAAATTTCTAAAAAAATCCACAGAAAATTCCGGCACTTTTTTCGCGTAAAGTTCACATATAAATCAACAAATTCAATTATTTCATTTTAATAAAAATTGAAAAATCAGCAAGAATACGCTCAGCTAGTCAGCTCAACAAAATTTAACCATAATCCACAGAAATTCCGCCAAATTCTCGACTAAATTTCACATTCAATTTCACAACAAACAATCCAAAATCAAAAATAATACGGAGTATATTTTTCTCAAAAAAAATCAAAAATAAAATAGAAAATACAACTTAAATTCGTAAAATTAGAATTAAAAAAAATAAAAAAAAATACCTCTTGGTCGTCCCAATCAAACATCTTCAGAATATGAAAGCTTAACTCATTCTCTTGACAATCAGCTCAAAACAAATTCGCCATTACTCCAAATTCAACCACAGATCAAAGAAATTGCAGCAGAAAATTGAGAACCAGAAAAAATGGCGCAAATTGCAGAAACGAAACCTAATTAAGCACAAGAACAAGTTGTTCCGACAAACGTCAGGCAGAAAATAAGAGAGAGAAAGAAACAGAAAAACTGGAAGTTTGTGTGATTGTATTCGAGTATTAGAGAGAGAAAGTGATTGATTGACACGTGTAAGGGAAGTTTGGCGGAGGAGAGAGAGAGTATCTAAATTAGTGGTTTAGAGGAGGTTTCTAGAGATCTATTCCTTGCCTTTCATTGGTTGGGCAATAGTGCCCAAGTATTTTAATATTTGTGGGTTCCAATTCTATATTGCTATTTTTTGACGTGTATATTCTCGTTTACTAGATTTTGATTTTCTCCGTTTACACGTCAGATTTGTTCGTCTATATCCTCTACCATTTTTTTGCCACTAGTAAACGCGGGAGTAGTGTTGGTGGTTTGCCGGGACGAGTAAGCGGCTAACCGTAAAGCATTAATGTTTGAAAAGTTGAACTTGAGTACTTGACACATAGTAGGTTAATAAATTCACGGAAATTTTATTTAAGATTCGTTAGCTCAAAGTAAACCTTTTGATTAATTAAAAATAAGTCGATTTTTTAAAATTATTGTATTTGATTGGGTCAAATGACCCTCAACCTGTGCAACAAGTCAATTCCTTTTCTTTTCTTTTTTTTGTTTGCGAAAATTTCTCCATCTTTACGAACCACAAAACCAACCACCGCAGCCAACAAATTACCTTCAACCCCCTCCCACCCACAACCACTGCCTTCAAGACTCACTCTTGCCGATTATCTCTTCGATAAGGGTTTTTTAGGTGGTAATTGATTGTTAGTAAATATTTATGTCGATTCCAATGACAAAAAGAGAAGATGAAAGGGAGAATACTTGATTGAAGATCTCAAACTCATAGTCGCGCCGTGGAACATAATCCTTAGAAGCGAAATACGTCACCACCGGTACAGGTTTCCTGATGACGCACGCCCCCCAAGTTTAACGTAACTCTCCTTCGTAATTCATGTACCCGAACCCGAAGAGTGGAATTACTCAAGAACTGTTCAGATCTTAAAGGGTAGGTTTGTATTTATGGGTTTAGGGTATTTCAATAATGAAATTAACATCACTTCGAATAATGGCCAAGGAGTTGTATTTATAGGAGTAATATGGAAAAGAGACAAGCATCTTGAGCCTCACGCAAGGCCCATATACTCGGCTGGGCTTGTGAGTAGAGAGCTATAGCTCACTCGCAGGGAGCTCTTGCTCGGACTGCCGCAAGTCAAAGCAGAGGCGAGCTAGTAGCTCGCGCGTATGAGAGCTATAGCTCGGCTTTGAGCAATCCCCTAGACTTGCATTCTCCACCTTTCCCTCTCTAACTCTTTGCACACTCACTTGGTGAAACTCCGATTTGCATTACTAGTGAGGAAAACTCCAACAATCCCCCACTAATGTAAAACGGACATGAGATCATGAAATCTGAACAGTAAAATGAAAGGTTAGGTACTTAAGCACTAGTATCCATAAGGTTTGAACTAATGCCTTAGTGACATAGGTATTCGACACTCTTTTGATGAGTATCCAAAGGTTTGAACTCCCAAGAGCGAGGAAGGAACATTTATCACATACTTCACCTTTTGAACTTGAGCAAATCCGCCAGTCTTGGCCAACATCTTGGGCTCTCATGAGTACTTCAAGAAAACTACACCACAATTTTCCCTTGAAGGAGGCCACCCCTCGTACTCACGTAGGTGTTCCGTCTGTGTATTACTTACACATTCCCAACATATCTCGAGTCTTTCTCTGCAGGCTTAAAACACATTCAAGCACCTTGCAAACCCAAGACTCTCTATGCAATGGAATAAGAACATTAAGAACGTAAAGTTCAACCCTATCAAATCAACGGTGCATCTATCAATCCACTGCTCAACGAGCTCTTAGGCTAGGTGCATTAAGGGATACTCCCAACCTCAGTCATTCGGTACCACTATCGTTCCCTACTCGAGTAATATCAGGGCTAGTGATTCTGATACATTTAAGGATCACTATCATTTCCTATTCTCGAGCAACTGGGCTAGTAGTATTAAGAGCAAACAATGCTCAACCTTCCATCTTCGGTGTCATTATCAATCCTACTCTAAGAGCCACTGGGCTAATAGTCTTAAATCCACTTAAAAACCATTATCAATCCCTACTCAAAGAATAACTGGACAAATGACATTAAGAGCCACGCTCAACCTTATTGAATCTACCTGGTCAACAAACCACTAAAAAGTGTTATAGATTCAATAAACATAAATGGTGTAAATCCAACAATGAGTCAACCAAAATAAGGCTCTAGACCCATTCAGAACAAATGTTCAACAAATTAAAACACTTCGTTGTGTCCATGTAAACTGTCTCAATCACTACGTGAAAAAATGAAATTGGCACCGGTTCAAACCCGGCTTAAGGCACCGGTTTGAACCGGTGCCAATGTGGGGGGTGCCAATAAGAGGTTTAAAAAGGCACCGATTCAAACCAGTGGCAAAAGTTGGAATTGGCACCGGTTAACCGGTGCCAAAAAATCTCAAAAAAAATTAATTCAATGACTTTGGCATCGGTTAACCGGTGCCAAAAGTGCCAACAAAATTAATTTTTTTTTGTCTTTTTTTGCTTAAAAATTAAATAAACTAAATTAAATAAGAACACAAAATATAAATCAAACATCACAATCAATATAAACGATTCTGTTTAATATATATATATATATATATATATATATATATATATATATATATATATCAATAAAATTTTACAGCATAGATCAATAAAAAAAATTACAACATATAAATAAAAAAAAATTACAACATATAAATCAAAAAAAAAATTACAACATATAAATAAAAAAAACTACAATATAAATAAAAAAAAATATTACAACATCACAATCTAAAAATCCCCATATTCTTGATTCTTGATTCTTCAATTATGTATACCTGCGCCAATTAAAACATCAAAAATAAATTGATTAAAATGAATAAGCTGCGAAAAAAATAAAAAAACCCAGAAAATAAAAAAAATCGAATTAAAATTGATTAAAAGGAAAAAAAATCGATTAAAATAAAAACAAAATCGAAAAAACCCAGAAATCAAAAAATCAAAACAAAATCGAAAAAAATTGAAACACCAAGAAATCGAAAAAATAAAAACAAAATCCCAGAAAAAAATGAAAAAAACCCAGAAATCATAAAAATAAAAACAAAATCGAACAATTAAAAAACCCAGAAATCAATTAAAATAAAAACAAAAACAAAAAAAAAATGAAATCGAAAAAACCCAGAAAAAATCGAAAAATCAAAATCGAAAAACAAAAATCAAAAATCAAAATAAGACAACAAAAGTAAAAATCGAAACACAAAAATCAAAATCGAAAAAAAAGAAAAACAAAAATAAAAATCGAAAAACAAAAATCAAAATCAGACAACAAAAGTAAAAATCGAAACACAAAAATCAAAAAAAAAAAAAGAAAAACAAAAATCAAAATCGAAAAACAAAAATAAAAATAAAAAATTGAAAAAACCCAGAAATCGAAAAAATAAAAACAAAAACGAACAAATAAAAAACCCAGAAATCAATTAAAATAAAACAAAAACGAAAAAAAATTGAAATCGAAAAAACCCAAAAAAATCGAAAATCAAAATCGAAAAACAAAATTCAAAAATCAAAATCAGAAAACAAAAACCCAGAAAAAATCGAAAATCAAAATCGAAAAACAAAAATCAAAATCAGACAACAAAAATCAAAATCAAAATCAGAAAAACAAAAATAAAAACCGAAAAAAAAAATCTAAATCGAAAAATACAAACCCAGAAATTGAAATCAAACTCGAAAAAAAAAATCTAAATCGAAAAACACAAACCCAGAAATTGAAATCAAACTCGAAAAAAAAAACCCCATATTTTGCATGTTGGTGGCCTTCAAATGAAAGAAAGAAAGGAGAAGGAGATAGAAAGAGAAATAGTAGGGAGAAGGAGATCGTGAAAGAGGAGGAGATGAGGAGAGGAGAGGAGAGAGAAAGAGGAGAAGAGGAGAGAGAGCGGCTGGTATGTAATTAGGGTTGGGGGTGATTATAAAGAGGCGGTTTTTTTTTATTAAAAAAAGGCACCGGTTCAAACCGGTGGGCTTTATTTTTTGCCACCAGTTTGAAATGAACCGGTGCCATATGTCTTGGTTCATTAGACGACATGTTTTAAGGCTATTTTTGGCACCGGTTTGGACTGAACCAGTGCCAATTAGGGGGTGCCTTTTTGTATTTTTCTACTAGTGAATTGACCACCCAACCTGGGTTATGGACATAGAGCACTTAAAGCTCAACCTATATACATCAAGCAACAAGTCTACCAAAGCATATAAATTAGAGGGTTATCAAGCCAAATCACTTCATAACGTAGACTCATCATTTAAAACTTCATCTCTAGAATAATTTAAAATACCCCACAGGATTTTAATATATTCCCTTAGACAATCAAGCACTTACCTGTGCTTCATCCTCGTATAAGGACCTGCTTGATTCTTTATTGCTTTCACATACTCTATCATGAATATCACCACCACAATATCTGTCTAACTCTGTCGCTACATCTATAGTTCCTGACAACATACATAGACTTGTGAAAAATAATGTAGAGAACACGAGGATCAACTTATCCCCACAATGGAAAAACTTCCAGAGATTAATTTTTGCAACAATCATCTTCTTGACACACGTCATCCAATCTTATGAACCTTTGCTTCATAATGGATAGTGTACAACAATTTGTTTTGCAGCTCACTCGAAACAGAGTACCGCCCTTCATCATGTAAAAATCATACACTGAAGAGGTTCAACTAATCATCGTTGTTCATTCAATCATTGTCTCTTATAACTTACTGGACAGGTACTTGAGAAACTTTCTCACTTTAACCTTCATCTCTGTACTACTCGAAACTCAAACAATAATTGAGTAATCCTCTCTTGACAACAGAATGAACAATGTAGTTCACAAAAAAAACCACTTTACGTCAAGAATAGTTTGTTCATCATTTAGATTGCAAAACATTAGCACATTTGAATCAAACATCAAGGCCAAATCATAAAAATAACTTTGGCTTAAGAATGATAAATATAATTTACCAAAACACTTTCTCTACGTCACAAAAATGAGATTGATGCGTACCTTTATTAGTTCATTGGCTTACTGCCTAGAACCATTCTGCTTATCTCATTATCTTGTACTTGTTT